GAACCATATGCAGCTATGAAGCCGGGTGTCCTGCCGTCGAAATGTACGTATGATTGGAGGCAAGAGCGTACCATCTTTCGGTATGTGCTTGGTCGACAATCGGACTACGACACCCCATGGACCGAGGCCGATATCGTGTACACGCCGATGAATATTGGCGGCAACCACTGGGTCATGATCGGGATTGATCTTGTGGAGGGTGATTTAACCGTATGAGACTCACTGCAGTCGATCACCCTGTTGGATGATCTCGAGAAGGCGCTCAAGCCAATGTGCACAATAATCCCGACGATTCTTCATTGGAGCGGGATGCTCGCAGTTCGGCCTAACCTGCCCACGGTGCCATAGAGGGTCCGAAGACGTACTGTACCTCAGCAAGCCGGGTTCACAGATTGCGGCATATTTTGTGTTAGATTTTTCGAGTACGATGTAACTGGGTCAAAGATGGACACTTTGACTCAAAGTAACATTTCTTTATTTCGTCGTCAATATGCTGTACAAATGTGGGTTCGCAGACCCTTTTTTTAGTTGTAATTATTCTTTGTACCGATTTTTTTTCCACCGACCTAAATATGACCTATCATAATTTGTTTTAGCATACTTATTTTTAGCTGTAGTCACTGATGAACAGTAACATAACATAAAACACGTTTGTAATCATATATGAAAGAATAGCAACCTATTGTTCATGCATGTGCATGGATTCTTACTTGCGGTACAAGCTACCTATTCATATCTACCAAAATACAAGGGAAAATTGACAAAATAAGCCTCCTGTAGGGGCCTTTTAAGTTTTTTAATCGCCCTTCTCAAAATACAAGTTTTCTAATCATTTGTTGACATCACCTACTTTGCCAAATGACCTCCAATGCCCCTCCTTAACATGGCCCAAGTTTTAGTTTTCCCTCCTCCCTTACTTGGGGCCTAATATACCAAATTTTTATTTTCCCTCCCACCTTTTTTGAAAACACTCCATTTCTCTCTCATTTTTTTCCCTTGTTTTGCTTCTTTCATCTACAGGCAACTCTCGATGCTTGAACTCCAGCATCTATCGGTCTTCCATTTCTCTCTCACTATTAGGGTTGTTTTGCTTCTGTCATCTACAGACCACTGACTGTCGATGCTCAAACTTCATTATCCATCGGTCTTTGTTTCGAAATGTTTCGTTGGGCTTGTTCGCATATAAGTTATTTATTTATTTGTTTGTTTACTGGGTTGTTTATTTTTAGACGTGGAGGGAGAGAAGCTGACGGACAGGGCGTGAAGGCAAGAAGAAAGAGATCATTAGCGCGTTAAATGGATATGGATAGCTACTTGGAGTATGTTATAGATCGAGATCGTTCATTAGCGAGAG